AAATGTGTGCCTCAGGGTTGTATCCGTTTTCAATCTGAATTTACCTATTAAATTTGTATGCTGTGTTAACAGTCTGATAAACTGAACTCTTATGAAGAATATCATCAGGATTAGAAAAAGGCTCATCTACAGTCTGTAGGTGACACAGCTTTCCTTGCAGAAAGTGAAGAAGACTTGAAATGCTTCAGAAGTTCAGCGACTAGAGCCTTCAATAGGGATTACACCTCACCATCACAAAAACAAAAATCCTCACCACTGGACCAATAGACTGTGTAGGGGAGTCTCTTTAATTGGCAGTTCGCTTCCCTGCTCTTCCCTTTTCCCCGTCAACACAGTATGCTCACACTCTAGGCTTAGGAGTCATAGCTGAATTTGAATCCCAGCTAAGAGGTTATTTAGCTTTTCTGAGTCTCAGTTTCCTTTGTGTTGATTTCCATTTTAACAGATCAAGGCAAGGGTGGCATAAATAAAACATCCACCCTCAGCCCCTCAGCTCACTGTAGATCCCAGTAAGGATGCCACCTCCCTGTACACAAGTATATTGCTGTTGTTGTTAGATGCCATCAAGGTGACTATGACCCATAACAACCCTATGAACAGATCCGAACCCTAGCCTATCCTGTGCAATCCACACTATCTCTGATATACTTTAGTCCATTGTTCCAGTCACTGTGTCAGTCCACCTCTTTGAGGATCTTCCTCTCTTTCTTTGACCCTCCACTTTTCCAAGCTCCTCCTAACAGCATACCCAAAGTATATGAGATGAAGCTTTGTCATACTTGTCTCTAAGGAGTACCCTACCCTAGTTGCACTCTCTCCAAGACATTTTTACTTTTGGCAGTCTGTGGGATATTTGGAAATCTTCTCCAGAGCCACAACTTTTGAGAGACCCGTATTTTACGAATTGTCAACTGCAGTTTTGTCCTCCATACTATTTCGAAGTAGTTAACAATATGATGTTTTTGGTTGTTTTGTTTGTTTGGTTTTGTGCGTGTACTGTCAGATCACTCTGACTGGTACAGGAGGAGATGGTCCCTCCTCAAGCAGGGCATCTGGTGGATTCTGTCAGCACACCTCTGGGATTGCAGTGCAGCTTCTTGCCACTAGGCCACCAGAGCTCCCAGCAATATGATGTTTTATGAAACCTGTGTTGCACAAATTCTAAATTACAGCTTCTTCTGGCATTCCAGTTTTTCCAATAGTAAAGAATACTTTGTTTTGTGAAACACTTTTTACACAAATTATGAACTGCAGCTTTACCCTACATTAGCATGTTTCTGTGTAAGAAAGCACACTTTGTTTTGTGAAACCTGTGTTTTACAACTTCTCAACTGCAGCTTTTTGCCTCATGCCACTATTTCCAAGTAATATGCCATACACTGCTTGGTGAAACCAGTGCTGCACGAATTTTGAACTCCAGCTTTCCCCTGAATTACAGTGCTTTTATCAAGGAAAGATTATGTTGTTTTGTTAAAATTGTACTGTACAAATTCTCAGCTGCAGTTTTGTCCTGTATACCAGTATTTCCAAGTAGTAACCCATATGTTCTTTTGTGAAACCTACGTTGCACTAATTCTGAACTGCAGTATTTCCATGAAAGACTATGATGTTTAGTGAAACCAGTGTTGTATGAATCCTCAACTGCAGCTCTGTCTTACATACTAATATTTCCAAGGTGGATACCATATGTTGTTTTGTTAAACCCTTGTTGCACGAATTGCAATGTTTAAGAATACGTTGTTTTGTGAAACCTGTGTTGTACAAATTCTCAACTGCAGCTTTGTCCTACCCAGCACTATTTTCCTGTAGTAAACGTTATGTTGTTTGTAAAACCCATTTTGCGTGAATTACGACCTGTAGCCCATAATCCCAAACAAATATCAAACATAGATTCCCATGCTCCTATACCTACTTCTACTAATTACTAGTCTGATGTTCATTGCAAATTAACTCACAGACTTTACTTACAGTTTTGTGGTTGTTTTTTTAAATTTTTTAAAAGTTTTATTATTTTTGTGTGCGTGTACCATCAAATCAGATCTGACTGGTACAGGAGGAAAGTGCCCCTCCTTCCCCGGCAGAGCATCTGGTGGATTCGAACTGTGCACCTCTGGGATTGTAGTTGCAGCTTCTTGCCACTAGGCCACCAGAGCTCCCCTTACTTACAGTTTTGAGGTTTATTAGGTAAATAGATTGGGAATGGGGGAGGCAAAGGATATCACACAGTGGAAGTGTAGATTTAGTGAGCATCGGCTCCAAGCCAGATTAACAGCAAGATACAATTCCTCAGTTCATTCAGATAGCTTCTCAGTCAACAAATGAAAGTCCAGGTTCAGGTCAGCAGCAGAAATGGAAGAAACTTCTGGTTTCCTCAGTCATTCAGCAAGCTTTGTCTAATAGCAATCACAAGTCAACTCTTGCTACTGTCATCCAGCAAGCAAAACCTTTAACTCTGGCTCCATCTCCAAGACTCTGCCAGGCTCCGTCTCACCACAGTCTCTTCACAGTGTGGCCTACTCTCCCTCTTATGATGGCCCCACAGTCGTTGATGATATAAAAGAGGCTGCTCAGTGGTGAGCCGTAGATGTGCAGCTGAGGCAACTGGGAACCACATCCACAGAGGCAGCTAAGAGAACGGCTAGCAATGCCATTTTTAGAAGCCCTAACAACCACACTCTCTTTGTCATGAGAATTACTCTGTTGCAGTGGTCGGAAACTGAACCTCTCAGTATCTGTGTCTTAGGATTCTAAGGTTGCTGTTGAGACTTCCCAGTTTAAGTGAGAAATGGTATAATTTAAAGCTAACATCTCAGTGTACACACAGAAGGCTCACTAATAGAAGTTGGAGTATTTCTTTTTTTAGTCCATCAATACTGCTACAACAGGTATATAAAGCACAAGGTGTATATGGAAAAATATATTGATTAATAAATACTCAATATTCAAAAGGTACCGTATTAATTAATAATTAATAAAAATGGTGACACAGTTTTACATATGTTGAATGGCAATGAAATACAAAGCCCTGTAATAAAGACAGCACTTTACCTTGCATAAGACCTGACATTTGGCCATACGAAACGTTGCAGTTTGAGTTACTGTGAAGTGGCAAAAGGTCTCTCTGAAATGAGACTCAATTACAGTACCACTCATTGGTAAGTGTGGCACACAAAACACAATAAACGGATATATTTGGAGTTTGTACTTCTTAGTTGACTGGCTACTTTGCGTCAGCTGGACACAACTTTCTGTATTTAATATTTCTCATAGAGAAAAATCAAACAAATGTAAGATATAAATGATTCTTGTTTTACTCCCTTATATACTATTCCACTGAAACAAATGTTAAAGCAAAACTGATTGTTCTTTAGCCACTGCTGTCAAGATGATTCTGACTCATAGTGACCCTAGAGGACAGAGCTGAACTGCCCTGTAGGGTTCCTGAGATTTACTCTATATGGAAGAAGACTGGCTAATTAATTCTGCGCCCCTCTCCACACCAAGTGAGTCAGCTGATGGGTTAAAATTGCTGACCCTGAGGCTTGCAGCCAAACAGGCCACCACCTTCTTCTAGGTAGTACCCAAAAGTAGAAGGAAAAAAGATTATTAAAATATACAGGCAAACAGAACTATTAATGTCCTTTATAAAGGGGTGAATATTAAGGGTGTGTGTATGTATATAAATTATATATATATATATATATATATATGTATATGTATAATTATATAATATATATATAAGTGAAACCAGTGTTGTATATACACACACATGCATATATATGCAGGAGACAGATGGACAGTCTCCTGCCATGTGATTTATAGTCTCTGAAAACCCGCTAGAGGGTCAGCGATGTTCCAGTTCCAATTTTAGGATAATGAATTAATTGAATGAGTGATGTTTGTGTACATTTTTTATATTACTTACAGGTTTATAGTCTAGCTAAATGGATTCAGCATAACACTCTGTTGAGTGCACAGATAATGAGAGTGTGGGAATGGAGTGGTCTTTGATTGTGTATGGTGATGATTGTGGATTCTTTCTTTGGATCATCGGCTACATTGTTATCATTTCCTGGCAGAGATAATTACATTGACAGTGCCACCCTCACTATCCTGATCCCATATGAACTTAACTTCATGGTGGGTCTGCTTGTCACAAAGCAACAGTATGCAAGTATCACAAAGAAACAGTATGTTTCTTGATCCACAGAGTCTGTTTTGTAAAGACCTCTCCTTGAGTGAATGCCGTGTTTGAAAAACGTGGTCATGACTATAGAGGTTGCTAGAAGAACAGCAATAGGCATGCAGATTGTTGCTTTAAGAGGTGCTTCAGGATAAAAGGAGCCAGTGGTAGTGCATTGATTAAAACACTTGACCACTAGCCAAAAGGTTGTAACCCACAGGCACTCCGTGGGTGAAAGACGTTGCTGGTGGCTTCCGTAAGGATTTATGGCCTTTGAATCCGTATTGGGCAGCTCTGCTCTGTCTTGCAGGGTGGCTGTGAGTTGGAGTTTACCCAGGGCAGTGGTTTTGGTTTTGAATCGGTAAGGTTCAGAGACTGGAAAGCTCAGATGTAAACTTTAGGAGAATGCCACACAGCCTTGGAATTGCATAGAAATGTTAGTTGGAAAGTACATTTTGAAGGAAAAGGTCATCAGTTTTCTTTCCATTTCCAAAAGGGTCATTGCTCTCAAACTGGCCAAGAAACTGTAATTTAGAAAACTTGTGATTTACATCCACATGGGTTGTTCAGAGATCTTTAGAGCCATCTGTGTGGCAAATACCATAAAAGGGAGCTACTAACATTTCCTCAGGGAGCACCCTTTGTTGTCACTGGCATGGATGGTGCAGGGCCGGCTCTGCTGCTGGTTTGATCCCTCATCTGTGAAGTGTCCCTTTAAATGAACAATACTGGCACTGAAGGATTCCTTTTCTATAAGGACTTAGAAATGAGGACCTTTGCCCTTTGCCTCATTGCTTTCTTTGCCTTTATTTTTCAGATGGGAACAGCGAGAGCTGCCCAATGGGCGTGTCTATTATGTTGACCACAACACCAAGACCACCACGTGGGAACGGCCTCTTCCTCCGGGGTAAGGCAAGGATGGAGGAGCACTGACACTCCGCTGCTCCTACTTGCTGCCACATTCGCCAGCTTGTTTTATTCCACTCTTTCTTCCTTTTCCTGCAGTTTCCCCTCTACTCTCAGAGTCTTCCCCTTCTACAGTCTTTTTTTTTTTTTTTCCTTTCCTCCTATATGTTTCTTCTTGTTTTGGCTTTTGACTGAAGGCCACAGGCTTTAAGATTGAGATCTGATCCGCAGTTGGGTCCTGAAGGAACGTAGGCTGGAAGTTTCCTGAGCCTTTTATGTCTTGATGCTGCCAGTCATTTCGTCCTACAGACACAGATGCTGTGGCCAGGTTTTTGGTCCCTTAAAGCAGAGGTGGCAAACTACAGGCACAAATTTTCCAAGTCCCTTGGTTAAGTCCAAGCTTTGCTCACTCAGTTCTGTGTTAATTTCTCAGATTGTCCTTGTGTTTTTGGAGAATCTCTTGTGGGAAACGGGCAGAGAGAGGCTGAAATAGGAAGAGTGCTGATGTATTTCACAGTAGCCTGTGCCCAGCCTGTCCCTGAAGGTGCTGTGCATTTCGCTCAGCCATACTGTGTGAGAGGGAGCTAAGTCCTCCAGAACCCAAGGATGAGTGTGGTGTCCAAGTGAAGGAAGACTGTCTGTCCAAGTTCAAGAGAAGGGTGTGTTTCCCTGTCTGCCAGGGACAGAAAGTTCTTTTCCACATGTGTCTCCCAATCCTGAGAGCTTTTCAAGAGATTGGTTTCTGCCCTTGGGGAAAAATTGCTTCCCTGTAATACACCTTCATGTATAAAAAGGAACTGTTCCCCCTAAATTTGCAGAGGGAAGGGATGGCGGAGGTGAGAAATATGGAGATTACCAGTGCCCTGTTGGTTCCGCTGGCTGGTACCTCCTCACCTTCTAGTCCTCCAAATTTCCACAGCTCAGCTCATTTTTCCAGTAGGATGCTTGTGTTTTCTTTACCCTTTCTGGGAATGAAATTCAAAATCTGTCATCATTAGCCTTCCTTCTGTTTTCCGCTTTGGCTTAAAGTCAAGTTACGTTACTAATGTTAAACATGGATTTCTTAAATTAAAAGAAACTTTTGAACAGTTTTGCATGCACAGAATTAGAACAATGCTCTGAACCCTCATGTTCTCAACATTCAGATTCAGTATTTTACCAGCCCTTATTATACAGAATTGGCAAAGTGTAGTCTGTAGGCAATCTGGCCCACTACCTTTTATGTAAATAAAGTTTTATTGGAACATAGAAACAATAATTTATTACAAACTATATATGTTTTGCTTTTACAATGGCAGAGTTAAAAGTTGTGTCAGAAACAATATGGCCTGCAAAAACTAAAATATTCAACTGTTCTCCTCTTACTAAAAATAAAACCACTATATCATTTCCAGTATTTCCTTATTATAATATACTTAAATCACTGTTCAAATTTTCCCAAGTGTCTCAGAAATTAAAGACTGGCTTTAAAAAAAACTTGATTGTTTGAATGAAAGTTTACAGAGCAAATTAGTTCTCCATGCAACAATGATTTGTGCACATTTTATTTCAAATTTTTTATTCCATTTCCTATAATGTAACAACAGTCTTCCCATTTCTTCTGTTTACCATGTCCAGGCATCTCTTCTTCCTGCTTCTTCAACTCTGTCCATGGGCAAATGCTGCTCTTATTCTCTTGTTAGTTGATTGTTTTAAAAAGGGAGTACCTACTTGGTGTTATTGTTCACCTTATAGGCCTTTCTTTTATTTTGCCGGAAGTTGAATCACAGGGGTGAATTTATGGTTTGGGTGTTCCAACAGTTTCTATCAGACCAGCAAGCTTCATCTTTTTGTATTATTTTAATTTTTGATTCATAGTTTTCTCCCTTACATTTAAAACATTCTGTGGGGATCCTTTCCAGCAATGTTCAGCAATGGTAGCCGGGCACTATCTAGTTCTTCTGGTAAAAAGGTCCAAGAGGTTGAGACATACATGGTCCATTAACCCTTTGGACCAATTGTTCCATATATCTATGATATTCTTTACTCTTCCTTTGTTGTAAATGAGGAAAGACCAAGAGTTGCACCTTGGATGGTCACTAACTAGTTTTAAAATTCCAATTAGTATCCACCAAAGTAAGAGGAAGAGCCCTGTTTTTGTGGACTTTAAGTACTGACTCTTAAAGTTGCAAAGCGGAAGACCCTCAACAAGATGAGTTGACACAGTGACTGTAATAGAGGGCTTGATCATATGGGCGCTCACAAGGATGGAGCGGATAGCTCAAGGTTCCCATCTCTTGTTCACAGGGCTGCTGTGAGTCGTAGTCAAGTCAGCAACACCTAACAGTAACAATTATAAGTTTGCATTTTATGTATTTACAAGGCATTTAAAATATACAAGGTGTTTAAAAATAGCAGTAAGTCTATTTGTTTCCTGCTTGCTGCCTCTTAACCTTGCTGCTAGATATGTTAGGTAGGCTTGGTCCCTAGGAGCGTTTAGATGGAATCTCACTAAAGATATTCACCCTCTAAAAATGACTGAGAAGTTACCCTTCTTTAGGTTTTAAGGTTAGACACTGCATTAAACTTTCTATTTCCAGGAGATTTTTCAAGGAGCCCTGACGGTGCAGTGGTTAAGTGCACTTGCTCAACTACTAATCAAAGGTTGCTGTTTTTAACCCACTGACCACCTTGTGGGATTCGCAAACATTTACAGCCTTGGAAACCCTGTGAGGAAGTTCTACACCCTGCTTTATAGCAGGTTCCTGCACACTGTGAGCTGGAACCAACTCTATAGCAACTTTATTTTTTTCTGGGAGATAACTCAGCCGTCTACCCAGCTGAATTTATTAATTTTTCTTGCGTTTTAAGCCCTTGACTTGGACTGTACTTTGTAATATTTGGAACCCGGAGCGAATAAGATGATTGAAAGAGTAAACATTCACAGCTAGTTAATGGGGAAAGTCTTGCCCCAGGGAATCGTTACAGTGATGAGAACAATTCTGGAACTTTAGATGGAGCCATTATTCAGCTGACCCTACTCATCAATGAGCAAGACTGAGCCAAATGATTCATTTAGTCCCAGCCATCCTCTTTCATCAAACCCATGAGAACCCGGCAAGGGGTTCGGTCACTTCCTCTAGAACCTGGTAGCTAAGGATGAATGCAGTCAGTCACTCCTCAGTGACTCTGAGGTGGTGCCCAGAGCAGAGATGAGCAGGTGAGTGATCACTCTAGAACGATCTTGTTACAGAGAGCCTCATGGAGACGAGGACCTGAAGCACTTGCTGCAAAAGGTCAAGGACTGTAGTCTTCAATATGGATTGAAGCTCAACATCAAGAAGACAAAG